CTGTGAAATTCCGTTCAGTATTTTGAATGAAGGGAAACATGTCCAGATGGTTTTGCATATTGCTTGAACGTAGTGAAGACTCTTTTATAGAACTTGATGATTTTAAAAATTTGTTCAAGCTCATAGTTTTTTTTAGGAAAATTTATTCACTCATTTGATTATGATTAAGCTTTCGATTTGGCGAGCGTAGTGATGTACTGTCAATAACTCTTTTTTGGCAAGCAAATTCGCATATTGTGTGCAAAATTTTTGTGCAAAGCTTCTCGAATTAATAGTTTCCGAGAGACATTTTTATGTGATTTTGTAGAGTTTGCGATCATTTTTTTTTGCACAGCTTTACTGGTGTTTTGTCGGTTAATTTGCCATGCCACGTTTGTGTTTATCGCATGTGATGCAGCTGTGCTATTTAATTTTCACTCATTATTTTGTATTTTGACCACGAACGAGGTCATTAGGCCTGAAGGTAGGGATTTTTTTCAATGATTATTACTCTTGCTTGAGCAAGTGTCTTGTAATTGCGAACTAGACTTTTTCCCGTAAACATCTTTTCTTACAAATCTGTGGGAAATTGAAGTTGCGTTATCATTGAACCTTAACAACTCACAAGTCCGCGCTGACTTGGCCTGTAGTTAACGCGATTGCCTTTGCAGGTCTGGGATTCCAGTCATGGCAGGACCTCGCTTTTTTCAGTGTATGAAATTGGAAAGGTTTTTCTGGAAAAAAAATTGATCATTTAGATTATCGTTAGTCTGCTAATGTTTTGTCGGCTTAGTTGCGACATCACAGGTATATAGTGTGCTGTAAGCACTTTTCATTGTTATGCTTTATCTGTAAATTTACTAAGCCTGACTTAAATATTTTCATTGTTTTTTTTCCGCTTAGAAATTTAGTTCTGCCTGGAAGATTTCAGTGATAGTTTTTACTGGCTCAGTCAATTTTTTGTATCGTTTGATGACTGAAAATTTGTTGTTTTGGTTGGTTAGGTCGGTTGTATTATAAAAGTTATGACAAGTTCGTTTTTTTTTTACTTTCGGCTCAATGAGCGTCTACCAACGGATTGTCAGCTTTTTTAACGCTGGCGGATAGGTTTTTTCGATCTTTTTTTTTGAAGTTGATTTTCTTTTTTTTTCCGAATAAAAATCAACTTGCCTGTTGACTTAGTTGTTTTCGCCTCATTGTCTATTCGGTCTCTAACAATGCTACGCCTTCGTTTTATGGCAAGGGATGAGAAGCTCCCCTTCGCCTCTCTGTTTAAACTAAAGATAATCAATAAAAAAATCGATTTTGTTCCTTGAGCGTCGGGCAGCTGTTTCTCTTCTTTATTTGTGGCCAGTGTCTCATCAATTTTTACTAATTCGAGGCTAATTTCTACTTTTTCTTTTGGCACTTAGTATAGCTTTTTTGTGTTCCTGCTATTGTTTGCGAAGCACAGCTTCGCCTGTGTTTTGTAATTCTAGGAGTCTTATGAAATTCTGGTCTGAAATTTTGGTCTGATTTTCTGGTTTGTTGAAAGAATAGATTTTATTACACTGATTCATATATTTTTTTTTGCATTTTTCAGCCATCAGTAAGTATTTTTTGATGCATTTCAAATTTTCCTTACTGTTTAAAACTGCCAATAATTGCGGCCTTTATTCATTGGCAATATTTGTTGTCTTGAGCTCAAATTTGTGAAAATTTACCTGTGATCCTTTTTTTGTAAATTTATGGAAATTTGCGGATTGCCAGTTTGGTCACTTCGGGATAAAAAACGCGCGTTGTTTTTCGGGCTAATAATGCGTTTGCGGAGATTTAATCCTTATTAGAAGTTGTTCCAAATTGAATTGAGGCATGCTGTTAGGTCTATTTAATACTTTGCTATATGCGAGTCAAATCAATTTGAACGTTACATAGCGTGTGGGGAAGGAATTTAAAAAATCAAACAAAGTATGAAATTTCAATTGCAACCGGGTACTCGATTTTTCCCCGTAAGGAAAACTTTTTTTTTACAGAATGGCAAAATAAGAACTGGTTAATTTAGGATGGTTTATTCAGATCTAGTTCATGATGAGTTCAATTTTCTTTGCGTCTGCGGCACAATTGGTCTGGAGGTAACGAATACGTCTGTGACAGTAAAAGTCGTGGGTTCGAATCTGACGACTTGTTTCTTTTTCAAACGTGAAATTTTCGGTTTCCAAAAAATGTCTGCTTAATGGTTGTTTGATTATAATTGTCAGCTTAGTTGCCACTTCGTAGAAATGTTTTTTTTTTGCTGTACAGAATTTAGAGTGTATGTGCTTAAGTGTTTGAGTTTTACATCTGATTGTGCTTTTACTAGCCTTGAAGTCGCCGGTACACTTAATCTGGATTTAACGGATACATCTGTGACGCCAAAGGTCCTGAATTTGGATCTGGCAGGACCTGTTTTTTTTTCAAACGGTATTTTACTGAACATGACTTCGTATATATATCTTTTGTCGTTTGAAAACTTTTTCTGCTCAAATGAAATGGGCCAATTTTTTATTGGCTTCGTGACCTAATTTCGAGTGTTTTCAACAAAAATATCTTTTTTATGCTCGTCTCTGGATCACATAAGGTGCCGAAAGTCTCAATAGAATTATAGTTCAAGTCTTTCATGATAACATTTTTTTTCCGGATTTTCGTTGATTTTTTATTTTCGGTTTGATAGGTTTCGGCTTACCTTTTATTGGCTTATTGGCCTGATATTGCTCGTACGACGAGCGAAATAAGTTTTGTTTGTGGGTGTTTGTGTATTCAGGTTGAGGGGGACTGAATAACTTGTTAGTCTTAAATTGTTTGGTTGTTTTTCTGATTTTCCTTACACTTGTGGGCTTGATAGGTTTCAACTTATACTATATCGGCTTAGTGGCCTCATATTGTTTCATTTGACGAGCTTTGTTACCGCTGGGTACATTATATTCGATGCTTATTTCACATTCTTTTGTCTTGGCATAATTTTATTTCGAGCTAGCCTTATTCATTTTGAATAGATTTAGCTGTTTCGACCATTTTGGTTTTTTCTTGTTTTGTTTGGCAAGTGGTGCGAAATTATTTTAAAATATTGCATTCAATTTTTAGTTTTTTTTTGGAAGCAAGTTTCGAATTTATTTTTTTCCTAAAAGCGCGCGAAAATTGTTTTGTTATCAATTTATTGTTTTGTTGAGCAGTTTTATTTGAAATCGATATAAGTTAGGCATCGCTTATTATTTTCTTATGTCAAAAAATATATATTTGCAAAAGTTTTAATTTTTATGCAATGGAAAAAATGAGTTTTCGTGGTTGTTTTTTTTGGCCTTTTTGTTTTTTAAAATTGTTTTGCTTTTCTGTTGTGATCCACCTTTCTTAACGTTGCGTCTCAAGGTTATGTTTGATAACATTGAAGTAATTGGGTTTTTAAGGTTTTAAATATTTGCCAGTTTTTGTGGAAATTGTTAGAAAATAAAGCATTCATTTTTTTACCCTTGCGATAAGCAAGGGTATTACAATCGGGTACTAGACTTTTTCCCGTAATCATCTTTGTCCACAAGAGGACTGAGAAATTTGGTCATCTTCTAATGTATCTCTATCCGTACTCAAGATGCACGTCTAACTGCTGTAATTCAAAAGCTAGCTTCAAGTGATAGTTGGTTTCACAGCTGAAAAAGGAATTTTAGATGTAAATTGATTTTTTGTCGGCTTTATTGATTTCGACCCAATTTTCGTCGACTAAGTTACCGGGCAAATAATTCTGTAAGTTTTTAGTAGATTTTGGATACTTTTTTTCTTTTTTTTTCATGAGGGTAAATATTAGTTCATGGTTTTCTGGTTTTTATAGGCCCCGAAATTTTCTCTTTTAAATCAAAATTTTTGGATTTATCCGCTATAATTTTTTTGCAAGTAAATTTTCAGTTTTTTTGGATGCATGATTTCAAATTTTTTTGTTCTAAAAAAGCGTGAAACAAGTTTTAGTTTAAATTAGTTTGGTGTGTTATAGCTTTCAGCATTTTTATTTGAAATCGATTCAAGTTGATGGCTTAATGTATTGTTAACGTAAAAAGTTGATAAATTTCCGGATTTTTTTTGCAAATTTGACTCGTTGTTTTTTTCTAGAAGGATTGTGGCGGAACGTTTTGCTCGAGATTTAGGTGGATGGTTCTTTGTCTGAAATTTCAAAAACATTTCATGTTTTTGATTTCGTTTTTTGGCGTTTTTAATGTTATTTTTTTGTTGTGATCTAGCTCTTTTACCGTTGCGTATAAATTTCATAACTGATATTTCTTGATGTAATTACCTTATTTTCATAGGCTTTCAGAGTTTTTTAAAGATGTTCTGCAAGTTCTTTTTTGTGGCAATTGTTAGTAGTTTTTGCATTCATGTTTGAAAATTGTTTTTTTTTCTCATTTTGATCTTATATCATAGTGGATAGGGTCTTTATCCCCGTTGTCTCTGATTGGATATGAAGATTGTTTGGTTGCAAAATTTATTGAACAGTTTTTGAGTACATTTAGGAGTTATCGTATCTCTATTTTTGACCGAAATGTTTTCTCATCGTTTTCATCTATTGGTTATCAGAAAGAAATGGATGAGTTGAGCCCAACTTCTTCTTTTTTTTGAATGTAATTGACTTCTTACAATTGCAATAAATTTTTTTCTGATTTTTGAGCCTACGATATCTTCAACAAAATTTGTTTGTTTAAGACACGTTATCTTTTGATTTTTGGAGCACTATTGTGTTATCGCAAGTGGTGCAAAGCTCAGCTTCGCCTGTGTTTAAATTTTTTTTTGATTCTGATCTTAGTTTGTAACAAATGTTACTGTTGATATTTGAATAATCTGAAATGTTCCTGAGATATAGATTTTGATTTTTGGCATTTGATTTTGTATCGCAAGTGGTGCGCAGCTCAGCTTTGCCTGCGTGAATTTTTTCCATTTGGGGTTAATTCTCCAACGTAGGAGTTAGCGGTAGCGTTTCATTTCAAATTCGACTTTTTGAGTTCGTTTGTTTGTGTCATTGAACTTATTCCTGAACGTGATTTGTGATCAGTGATATTCCAGGTTTAATGGAAACGGAAGATGTGAAAACTCTGCAGTCGACGCAGAGATTGTTTGTGTTGTACGAACATGCCTCTGGCTACGCGCTCTTTCGGGTCAAGGGCTTCGACCAGATCCAGAAAGACCCGAAGGCTGCGTCTGATGCCTCTATTTTTGGATCGGCCGTGCGTCTCCAGGCATTCTCGCCTTTCCAGTCGAGTGTCAATGCTATAGACAATGCTAACTGTGTAAGCGAAGGAGTTGTGCATGACGATTTACGTGTGTTTCTCGAATCTAATCTACCACTCGAAAAGAAAAGTAAAGTTGCGCTGGGAATCGTAGATGGAAAACTGGGAGCTGCAGTCATGGAGGGGCTGGGATTGAACTGCATAACAGCAGGAAGTATTCCTGAAATTGCAAGACTGATAAAACGTCATTTCAGTTTCTTCGTCAAAGGTCTGACCGACAAAAGCGAAATGAAGGCTAGTTTGGGTCTGTCGCACAGTTTCTCACGGTGCAAGGTCAAATTCAACGTGAACAGAGCAGATAACATGATCATTCAGAGCGTGAACTTATTGGACCAACTGGACAAAGACGTGAACATGTTTTCGATGCGCATCAGAGAGTGGTACTCCTACCATTTCCCAGAACTGGTTAAGATCGTCAACGACAACCGACTGTACATCAAGTTAGTCAACCTTATAAAGGACCGAAGCAATAGCGAACAAGTTGCAGATCAGATCACAGAGTTGGTAGGCGATGAAAATATTACGCAACAGGTTGTTCAAGCCTCTAAAACTTCGATGGGAATGGAAATTTCCCCAATTGATCTGATGAACATTGAAGCCTTCAGTAAGAAAGCTACCATGTTGGTCAACTACAGAAGTGTCTTGTTCGAGTATCTTACGAAAAAGATGGCCATGATTGCGCCCAACTTGTGCAGTTTGGTAGGAGAAATAGTCGGAGCGAGGTTGATCAGCCACGCTGGAAGTTTGATAAATTTGGCAAAGTACCCAGCATCAACTATCCAGATTTTGGGCGCCGAGAAAGCTTTGTTCCGGGCTATTAAGACGAAAACTGCGACACCGAAGTATGGTTTGATCTTTCACTCGACTTTTATCGGCCGAGCGGATATGAAAGACAAAGGAAAGATGTCGAGATACTTGTCGAACAAGTGTGCAATCGCGGCTAGGATAGACTGCTTTTCAGAAAAGCCAAATATGGTCATTGGAACGAAGTTACGAGTCATGGTTGAAGACAGGTTGAGTTTCTTCAAGACTGGCGTGGTTCCGAAAACGAATGAAGAGTTTATGGAGGAAGCGTTGAACGAGCTTAAGGAGTTTGAAGAACTCGAGAAAGAAGCGAGAAAAAAGAAGAAGGAACAGAAAAGACTGAAGAAGGCGAAAGCAGCTTTGATCGCAGAAGCGAACGGAATGATGGTCGAAGCTTAGAGGATACAGAATAAAATAGACTTTGCATACTGGATCCCAGTGTTATTTATAGTCCACAGCAGTATTTAAACTGTCTCTTTGGCTTGATTAAAGTGATTTTGAGTTGAGGATGATTATTTTTAATGTTGGGATTCGCTTTGTTTTCTGTTTAATCAACTACCCTACATTGAATAGATTTTATTCAAGTTGATATTCTTACGTCAGAGTTAGCCTTCTTTTGGATGAAAGTTCCGACGAAGACGTACTGAACCGGACGATAGAAGTTTTTACTGTTTCGATCTTGTTAACAGGCTCATGTTTGCTTTTGCGATAGGCTAGGGTACTGCAACCGGAACAGGATAATAGATTTTTTCCCTTGAATAACTTTGTTCACAGGATGAAAGAAATTGATCATCTTCAAATCTGTACTTTCGTCAACTATCAGACAAATTTTGATCGTGTCTACGTTTTTATGCCCGTTCTTTTCGAACATTGTTTTTTATGTTATCGAAAAGCAAAAGAGTAAAGGTCACTAGAATATGATCGACTTCAGGTTTCGAAAGTGGAATTTACTTTTCAGATTTCCCAGCGGAATGAAACGTTTTCCTATAGATTTTCCTGTCAATCATAAATTGCTCTTGAAATATGAAAAGCTTGAAGGGCTTCTTTATCTTCTTGAAAATTGAAAAGTTTAGATTTTTTCAAAAAAGAAAATCATTACTCTTTTCTGTTTACTTGCGTTTATTGACTCTTTTCCAACTAACTCTTGCGTTTTTAAAAATGTGCATTTGATGATTATTTTTGGAGCTTCTGTGTTTAATTTGTCTCCAAATATCTCCTCAAAGCTTCTCAAAATGGAAAACGGTAGCATTGTGCATGTTTGTAGGTTAAAATTGGATAAAAGTTTAATTTTTTTTTTCCAAAATTTAATTTAAGAAACACATTCTAGTGGTGTTTTTAAAAATTATTCCGGACATTTTTTTATCTAGGTGATCTTATTTTTTCAAGCGAGCTTGATTTATTAATGTTACAAGCTCACTCTTCTTTTTAAACCCTTGTTATCCAAGAATCAAATAAATACGAACGTAGCAGAATATACGACGCGGCAACGTAGCAAAAAGTAGACAAGTCATAATTTAGACACATCATACAGTATACTACTACTATATTAACCAATCAGAATCGAGAACAAGAAGCAAAGATAGGAAATAAATAATTATTTTTTATTTATTTCCTGAGTTTGCTTTCTGTTCTCAATTTTGATTGGTTTATATAGTAGTTGTCTACTTAATGACCGGTATGAAATAAAGGTTATCTGCTTTTTGACCGCACTCCACACGACGCCATGGCTGAGTGTCTGAGGCAATTGAATTTTGATCGGCCATTCGAATCCTCCCATATCAGGGATTTTTCTTGAAGTTTTTCACGCATGTTTTTGTATTTTTTCGTGTAATTTCCATTTTGTTGTTCTTAGAGCTACTTTTGCCTTTTTTGCGTCTAATTGTGAATTTTGATCACGTTTCATGTTCAATTTAGTGTTTTTTCACTTCTGCTGTTAAACTTTGTCTGTTTCAAATTATGTTCAGTTTGTATAAACTCATCTATTCAGTAAATGAGTTTTGATTTGGGTTCAATCAGTTTTTTAAATCATGCTTTTATTTTGTGAAGAAATTCTTTAAAAATTGCTATTATAAATCAAAGTTCGTCTGATAAAAATTAAACAGAGCAGAATTTTCAATCTATTCTGTGAAATTTCAAGAAATAAGCAACGCATTGTTTTGAGTCAGAATTGTACCGAAGTCAAAACTCATCTACTTAAAAAAAATTTCGAATTGAAGATGGTTTTGATACAAATAAATTGATTCAAAAGTTTTTGATGAAAGATTTTGACTTATTCAGCTCAAAATTAGAAAGATACTTTACGTTCGACCAATTTTCTGGTTTGAAAATTGCGAATGTACGAATAATTGATTTACGCGAAATTTTAGGTTTTTTTAGCACGCGACGAAGACAGTGTGCTAATCCGGCTCAGAAATCACTCAAAACTGAATTGAGGCAATCTGATTGATCCAAGTATTGCGGTAATAGACGCAAAATTTATCATTTTTACTTCCAATTGAGCAAAACGATAATGGCTAGTCGAAGCCTTTAGTGCAAACATCCAAAAAAAGAGCTATACTGGTTCAAAGAACCAAAAATGTTTTAAAAATAAGAACAAAAAATGATTTTCATCGTTTGCATAAAACATGTTTTTGGCTGAATTTGAATTTGGAACTACGGAAAATTAATCCATAGCTAAGCAAAAAACCTTATAAATAGCTTTTCTGGACAGGGGTGGCCATTTTCCTCGCGAAATGCGTCTGAGACGGATGAAAGCTATCAAGCAATATTTTTCGTTACATACTGAAAAGGAGTTCATAGTAGAGCACAATTTTTTTAAATGGTAACCCGCGCACCGAACATTTTGGGTTCATAACGTGATGTTATTTTGTAACTATCATCCTTCACCGTTTCTTTTCCAGTCCTAGCGGGATTATTGAGTACAAACAAACTCATTTTGTGAATGGACGGACTCCTCGAATGGATGGTTTTTCCTCTCATCTAATCAAAATCTCCATTTTGAAAAACCATCCATTCGAGGAGTCCGTCCATTCACAAAATGAGTTTGTTTGTACTCAATAATCCCGCTAGGACTGGAAAAGAAAAGGTGGAGGATGATAGTAACAGTTTCGTTATTCCCCTTCCACCGAAAGCCTTGAAACGACCGTTAGAATCGGTTCAAAATTAGATTTTTTATCCGGACAAAACTAATAAATGCTGAAAGTTTGATAGAGTTTTGCTGAAATTGAGTTTATTTTGTTTTCACGCCCATAGTTAAAAAATACAAAATGATTGTGCAATTACGATTGCAATAGGCAACCGTTATCAAATTGGAGCGAAGAATTTTTTTGGTGAGCATCTTGTCTAATGGACTTACTGAATAATTTTCAGTCAACTCTTTGATATCGCGAAGAGGAAGATATATTTTCAGATGCAATTTAAATTCGCGTTCTATTCCGTTGGTGGTAAATTTAACAACTCCGATTTTGATAAGTTATTGTTCATAGCTTTATAAGGTTTTAAAAATTTTTTCTTTAAAGATTTCATATTCCATCATTTGATGAGCGGAAAAAAAATTGTATGCGTGTATCTTTTGATTTTGGAGGGACCTTAAAATTTTTTTCAAATATTTTTTAAACTTTTTTTTGCTCACTGGTTAAAGTGGGCACTATTGCATTAATTCCGGTTATTGAGGCGTTCAAGTTCGTTTCTTTTATTCAATCCGATTTTGGATTTAGCCATTGAACGTTTTTCTAAATTGGTATGATTGTTGAATCTTTTGCGGTTTCATGAGCACTTGATTTTATTTGTATAGCTGCTAATCTTTCCTTCTTTTATTTGATATCTTCGTGAGAAATTTTGTTTTTGAGTATTTCAACGGAGTTTTTAGGTCTGACACTTAAGTTTTGATAAATTCGTAAAGATGAAAAGTAATAACACTTTATAAGTGATAATGCTGGGCAAATTTGCTGTAGAAATGATACATTTAGCCTTTTAATAATTTCATTAAAACTTTTAAAGTTTCGAGAAAAATTGTTTTAACTTTTCTGTTTTGTTCACTTTTGTGCTATTGTTTTTTACTATTATAGTTGTTAGAAAAAAAAACACCAGTTTTAGTTCTTAAAAAAATAGAATTTCTAATTTTTTTATTTATTTACTTTTCTTTGGGTGGTAGCAGAAGTTGCAGTTGCGTTGGCATTAAATTGCGTTTTTATCTTACTTTTTGGATTCCAAATTTCTGACAAAAGTAAGGAAAACAGTCAGAGGCGGATCTAGGATTTTCTCGAGGGGGGGGGGGGGGTGCGGATTTTCAAAAAATTTTCGGAAGTTTTGTCGAACTTTTTTTTTATTTTTTGATCGACCAAATTGTTTTTCCGAGCTCTCCTACAGCAGTAAAAAGACCCTGTTTTGGCCGAAATTTGTGCGCCGCAGGCAAAGTTTTTTAAAAACAGGCCAAAAAAGGCGTTTTTCGGCACTTTTTGGAAAATTTTGATATTCAAATCGCGTTTTTTCGGCGCGCGCTCCCCACTCAAAATTAGTATATATTGGCGCCAAAGGCGCCTTAAGAAAAATTTTAGGGTTGGTCGGCCAAAGATCTATTTCTTAAAAGTACCAAAGGGGGGACCCTTTAGGTCGGCAGGGGGTCGAATCCCCGAGGGGGAGGAGGCGTCCCCCCCCCCTGAATCCGCCCCTGAAAACAGTAGACAACCTTATGAGACACCAAATTTTACGCTGGTTTTCACTATTTTCTTCAAATCATTGATTTTTAGTGTTTCCTGATCTGTAATTATGTTTTAATATTGCTGCACTAGCAATCTGTAATTTCAAATGATGTCACAACATCATCCAGGATACTTTTTTTGCCAAGCGTTTAGATTTTTAGAACTCTTTATCCTGATGAAAAACAATTTTTCAGAAGTTTTCCTAGTACAGGATACTATTAAAAGGGTCTACAGTTTTCTGGTTTTGAGTGGCGTTCTTGTAAAATGGATTAAAATCAGTTATTTTGAGGCATTCTAAAATCTGTTTCTCTCCTAAAAGTTTGTTTGAAACATTTTTAGTGTCGTAGTAATTGAGAGTGTTATTCCTTTTGGACAAACATTGTTCAAGTTTGTTCAGTCCGTGCTTCATTAAGGTGTCAAGGCTATTAGCAATTTTCAACCTCTGTTACATCTATTTGAAAAAACGCCATTGCTTTCGAATATTGCTTCATTGAGTTTTGCTTTGCCCTGTTTTTCAAATTAGTTTTTTTGTTCATCTTATAGTGAGATTGATCATTTAAATATTTCCTTTAGAGCCGTCCATAATTTGCGTTTTTAAGCTTCGTTTTCAATCAGCTCATTTTGTATTGACGAAATAAAAAGTTGCTTAAAGTTTCACAAACGTTAATTTTGTGCAAATTATTCTAGGAAATTTGGACGCAAAATTTTACCATTAATGTTTTTTGGCTCGGCTTGTTTACGCAAAAATTACGCAAAAACGTGTTATATTTAAATAAAAAATATCAAAATGACATCTTCTTGTGCCTTAAAAAATTGTACATTTAAATAGAAAACCCGACCTTTTTAGCTGCCATGCAGTACAATTGACGTAGCGTACGCCCATTATTCCAAATTCAAATGAGCCAAGCCAAACAACGCGTTGTAATATCAAAAACATTCAATGTCATATGGGAAAGGTAGCGTGAAGATTTGCAGAAGGAAACGAAATGTTCGATGTTTTGTTCTGGTGCTTCAGGTACTCAAAAGTCAGAACATCTAGGACTCTGCGCTCGAAGGAGCAGTCTTCTTTTTTCATAACTTTGATTTCGACATTAAGTCTCATTTCTGTCTCAGCTCAGATGTGGAATCAGCGTTTTGTGATGTTTTTCATGAAGCTAGCCTCGCAGCTTTTGAGATTACTTCGGTAGACAAGAATACATCATTAAAAGCATCAATGCGGCGTGTACAGAAAATATACATTAAAAAAACGAATGACCGTGTACAACAAGGTGCGTTCAAAGTCCAATCAGTGACCTTTGAGAAAAATTTGATCAATTTTGAGCGAAAATTACATCACAACTATAAATAGATTAGTTGCTTCTCGTCTGATTATTCAAGGCATTTTCAGCATATACGTCATTTTATTTATTTCATCTCTCACGTCATTTGTTCATCTCTTTTAGTAAAAAGTCATTGGTAAACAAAATTGATTGGTAAGTCTACTTTCTTCACTTTAGAGCTTGGCTTCTCCCGCACATTTTTGTTTCGGCTGCATCTTAGTAAATATAACAAAGCTTCCATTTTTGTTTCTGATAGGAAATCTTATTTTGTAAATGGCAAATTTGACTGTTTATTTTGTAAATGGCAAATTTTAAGGTCATTTGATTTTTTTAAATGAATTAAATTAATTTTTCATGCAGCTGTATATGATTTTTAAGGTTCAAAAGTAATCAATCCATTTCGCTGCAATGACTTTTTAAATCTACAAATAATCTGCATCGACATTTCAAATCCAGATTTAAACCTTTCAGACAAAATGAACAACTCTTCCGATCATATCTGGAAGCCAAAACGGAAACAAGACGCCACAGAAGTCCAAACCAAACATGAAACTGTAAGGCGGAAAACGATGTCGATTTTGAATAGACTGACTCCTGAGAACTTTTTTTCTCTCAGCCAAGAAATGACTTCTCTCGACATTGACTCTGACGATTTACTCGATGATGTGATAGAGATTTGGCATTCTAAGGCTTGTACGGAGCCACACTACGCAGAGATGTATGCTACACTTTTTTCTCAGGTACTGGCAGGTATAGGAATTGTAAGTTCATCAGTAATCGCTAAATTGTGTCAAAAAACGCCGAAGTGTCCAGAAAAAAAAGACAAAAATGCGTTTTGAGTAGTGCGCAGCTTGCTTATATTTAATATATATTGGACACACCTAGGAGCCGTTGAGGGGTCTTTTTTAATAAGTGGGGTATGGAGGATTTATTCTCATCATGCCCTCTCAATACGCTCCTGTTATAGGCCAAAACTTAAAAAAATTTCATCGCGTCAAAAATTAGTTGTGACACTAACGTTCCTTCTTCTACAGTCCAGTCTAGCTAGTTATTTTCTTGTACAATGCGTATTATAATGCAATTGAACTGCTTTTTTTCAGCACTTCTCAAACGGAAGTTCACATGATCCAAATTCGGTCCTTGCTAGGAAGTCCATGTTGAACAGGTGTCAGAATGAGTTCAACAAAGAGATGGTGTCTGAAGTAGAGCAGGAGGCCTTGAAACTCCTCATAAAGAGCAACCAGGTTTGTTACGTTCAACGTATGCCAAACGGTTAACTCGGTTGAGCTAGGCATAATTAAATATCGCTATTGTCGACAATTTGTTTTTGTGATGGTTTTAGCCTAATTGTTGACAGCTTTGAGATTTTTCATCGTTCCAATGTATTTACACAAGCAAAGCTTTTGTTATAGTGTGAACTCGTTTTTCTAACCTAAGTCGCAAATATTGTTGCGACAAAATGTTTTCATTTTGAATGTGTTCATTGTGATGAATAACCAGCTATTAAGTTCAGCCAATGCTAAGGATATTACCACAGACTATATTACAAATAGCATCTTAGCCTCCAGGTATCATGAATCTGTAGCGTAGATGTAGGGAAGGAGACCGGCAAAAAAATAAGAGGGCTCGAACCTGGACAGGGTCGGATGATTTTAATGAACTTTTTCGTATGCTAGTTAAAGTGCGTCCGCGCTATAAATTGAGGCGTTAGTTGGTAAATTTATTTTTTTTTCAAATTGACTGACACTGCTAATGTGTCATAATTAGTTTGAGTCACTTAGCAATTATCTAGATTCACAATTGGCGTGCGTCACTTAAGAAATTTTGTGGACTCAAAGTTTTATTTTTCAGTTTTTCCAAGTAGCGTTATCGGTCATATTTTTGCTTGTGTATGCGAAGTGCAACTTCGCCTGTGTTACAATATTGCGTTAGTTTTCACAGTTTAGGTATTAAGAATAATAAACGTAGTGAGTATTATTATATAGGTCTTGCTGACTTGTTTTGGACCCAAGGAATCTGTTATCCTTTGAATCAGATGATGATTTGAAAGGATCGGTGACTTGATCAATGTTCAATGTGTTTTTGTTATTTTGAACGGATCGGTGAAAGGATCGATTCAAAGGCTTTGAAAGGATCGGTGACATGATCAATGTTCAATGTGTTTTGCAACATTGATATGATGAATGTCAATAATCCAAATGAAGCTTGAGCTACAGTACGATATAACTTTTTTTACCCTTGCGCTAAGCAAGGGTTTTGCAATCTGGTACTAGCTTTTTCCCGTAAACACTTTTTTCTACAGGGTCTTCTCTTGTAGAGGATCACTTCCAGAAGATCTTATTTTTGAAATTCTCAATTTTGTGAAAAATCAAATAAAAGATCTATCGATTAGCTAGTAATTAGTTCAAGCTTATGTCAGGTTGTTATTAACGTTTCAAAAAAAGCTCCTTTTTTGGGTTCCTGGCTTTCATCCTAATTTCTGTCGGTTCAATATCGTTTTTATAAACGCCATTTTTTTATCTGATAGTTTTTTCATTGGCTTATGGTTTACTTTTTGAAGTATGGTTTTTGTTCCAATTTAAGCAGTTTTTAGTATATTTGAAACTTCACAATTTTGCAAATTTACCATGTCTGATTTTGAGTTTTTTCATTAAAAAAATATTCAAACGGTTTCAGTTTGTGCTATATCGATTTAATCAAATTATTTTGCGTAATTTCGACGTCAAGTTATATGCGTTTGGGATTAAATATTTCAGTCTGGATGGGTCGTGAAAACTTCTAAATGCAATGAAATTTTTTATGACAATAGTATAGTTTTCGGCGCAACGTGTTTCGACCCAAAGCTTGTTGACTGAGTTACCCTCCAGTAAATGGTTTCCATTTTCATGGGATGTTTATGAACTTCATCCTATACAAACATGAAGTTTTTGTTGTTGTAATTTTTCAACTTTTGTCACGTTATTTTTCTTCAACATTTTCCACTTTTTTCATTGACTATTTTGTAGCGCAATGTGTTTTTTGCATCGGAAGTGTTGCGATGCTCCGCTTTGTCTCTGTATTTCAATTTTAGCTTTTATTGAAAAACTTCAGTTGCTGTATTTGAACAGTATAGCTATAAGGTTATAAGGTTCTTTTACCCGAGAACACCTTTGTGTTATTGTTTGAATTTTTTTCCTACCTAGCGTGAACAATTTTTTTTGTTCATATTCAGTATCTGTTTGCTGCTCAAGTTTTATTCGCCCATGTTTTATCCATTTCATTATTAAAATGCACTCATTTCTAACTATTATTTACTATTTGACGTTCAATAGAGTCCTAGTACAAGATCGCAGAAAACGGAAAAGTGTTCAGAATGCCGGAAATGAACCGTTGTTTGGAGTTGTTCAGATCCTTTTCAACTTTTTAAAGGGTTTAACTTCAGTTTGTTTGAGTTGTACTGAAAATAGTTAAATCAGTCTGAATAATTGTAGCGATGATTTCGCACAGGCTTAAAGCGGCCATGAGTCTATAAATAATAATTTGATAGACAATACATTTCTTAGTGTACGGTTACGAAAACTGAATTTTCACAATTGCAGAATTTTAATCATAAACTTGCATCAATTTTTACGCTGCGTAAACTTCAAATCGTTTCGTCCACGGCGTGGGGATGTTGTTTTTTTTTCAGATTGTCTTCTGGTTTTCAGAGCCGGGTGTCCATTTGTTTCTCGAATATTTGTAGTGATGATTTTCGCACAGGCCTAAAGCGGCCATGAGTACAGACTTTTTTGAAGAACTAAACAACTGACTTCAACACAAAGACCTTATGCGGCCATTTGTGCTAATTTCTCCTGGACTAAACGAAGAGATAGTAAAAAAAAACTTTAAGCGGCGATTCTGCTTTTTCAAAATATAAGGAAATTAAAAAAATATAGCGTCTTAAAAACTATGCAGATCGAGAACAAAAAGTATTGATAATCCGAGTAATAAAGACCATAAAATACTTAAGTCAAAAATGAATGCGAACAGATTTAGGTAGCAAAAGAGATCTTAGTTGACAGTCTTTAACTAATTTAAACATCAGCGGGTAACTGCAAACAAGATAGCGGTTATGAACAATGATAAGTGAGAGTAAAGTTCACTTACAGTGTGATAACCGATGTATTAAAAATAAGTTTTCAATAAATCAACTTGTAATGAACAAATTTTAAAATATTGAAAGGGAGAAATTTTTGTTAATTGCTATGGTAGTTGTTTACGTGCAAAGCTTTATAATGATAATTCAGGTGAGTAGTTTGTTTGTTATTGTTGAGGCTACGAGCAATTATACTCTGCTATCGTTTTGTATAAACCTTTTCTTATTCCCAAAAGTTCTTTTGACCTTGAAAAAATTGTTGTTTCGAAAATAATCTGGTGCTTTCAAATTTTCAAAAAAATTGAGTGATTTTTTATTTGAAAAGAGTATTTTCAGAATCCCTACTAGTTTTTGTCGGTTTTTTATAGTCCACTAGCAACTTTTGCAAAAAAAAATACAACCTATTGATCATGGTTATTCAAATCGGATATAAGACAAAAAATTTCTATAATAAAGTATCTTCTAATCTATCAAAATTTCATAAAATAGACCAGGGAAGTTGGTTAATGCATAGTAACCATGTATCAAACCCGACTTGTAATGTTAGAATTGAAAAGTACACCTGATAAATGCTACTCAATAAATGATTTATCTCTTTTTTTAGATCATGTTTTTTTTTTAATTTGTAAAATAAAAACAGTATTTTTTGAATATACTTTTCGCAATGATAACTGTTAGCGGAGCACTGTGTGGTCTATATTTCTTCTTATTGGAACCTAGTTTAGTTTCTCTAGGATTTCACTCGAGCGAATAATTCATAATTATTGTTTCAGACTTGTAAAAACAAGAAGCACGAAGCTCATCACTGTTTAGATGATATTCGAAGGTCAAAGCAGAAGTATCTTGGAAATATTTGCTTCATCGGAGAGCTATTCAAACTGGATTTGCTGACACCAAAAATTATGCACAGTATCATTGAAACACTGCTGAACACTCATGACGAGTTTTCATTTGAGTGTGCTAGCCGGTTGCTCTCAATCGTGGGACACAAATTGGACCATGATCTGACTTCTTTACTTATGGACCAATATTTTCACAGGGTGTTGGAAATAATGTTTCTGGACACAACTTCTAAACGGATTCGATTCATGCTGCAAGACGTCATTGAACTCCGACAGGTTACGGTTCAATATATGTTTCCATTTCAAACTTTCTAGAACATTATACTGATCTGTACAATAAAACAGCAGTATTTTTTAGCAGTAGAAATACATCTGGTTTACTTTTGCTGCATTAGCATTATAGAGAGTTGCAAAGTGTTGGAACAGACACAATTAATATAAAAGAGCAAATGACCTTTTTAAAATTTTGCAAAAGTTAATTCTTCAGACCAGGGGTGGATTTAAGGCGTTCTCTCCTCGGCGATTCGACTCCCTGCCGACCCAAAGGGTCCCTTCTGTGAACTATTTTAAGATATCCACTTTTGGCTGACGGACCCAAAATTTTTCTAAAAGCGCCTTTGGTGCCAATATATACTAATTTTGACAAAATTTTTCAAAAAGTGGCCAAAAACACTTTTTTGGCCCGTTTTTTCAAAATTTTGCCTGCGGTTGAGAAAATTGGGCCAATTCTGAGTCTTTTCAGTGCTTTGGGAGAGCACGGTAACTCGATATCGTTGATCTAAAAAAAAGTCGGCAAAATTTTCGAAAATCCAGAAAATATTTGAAAATGCGCCCCCCCCCCCCCCCCTCGAGAAAATCCTAAATCCGCCCCTGCTTCAGACATAAGTATGATACAAGATTGCCAAAAAATTCAAATTTGCAGGTAAATGTTGTTTGAATTCGGGGGTTTGATTCGGGCACAGTAGAAATTTTTGAATATTTCTAGCTTTTCTTTCCTTTTTACACCGAAGACTTTAGTCAAGGTGTTATGGTATCGTGTAATGGGTTTTTTTTTTAATGTTGTCTGTTGTCAAGTGTCGACAAATAACGTCCGCAGTTATCAATTATCATGTGGGCTGGACTATATCGCGCTATGTCACGTGATTGCGTATGTTTGTTTCTTTATTTGTTCATCTTTATTTATTTAATTATCTGTTCTTCTATTTATTTAATTATGTTTAGTTTGCTTATATTTATTTATAATTTATGTATGTACATATTTATTTTTGTTTATTTTTATCACGTGTTTTGTTTATTTATTTAATTATTCTTTCTTTCATTTAGTTTTGCTTTTATTATTTCTGCGTGTGTATTTATTTAATTTATTTATTTTCATTTATTTATATTATGGGTCTGTTTGTTTGGTTATTTGTTCATGAGAAATTTTGGTGTATACATGTGTTAGTACGATTTTTAGTTCTAGAAGTGTTATTTTATGATCTTCGTTGATATATCAAAAATTTGACCTATACATGTGTTAGTACGATTTTTAGTTCTAGAACTGTTATTTCAGGCTCTTTCTCGATATAGCAAAATTTTGGTGTATACATGTATTAGTACGATTTTTTGTTCTAGAACTGTTATTCTTCAATTATTAGTTGTTCAAGTTGTTTGGTTTTTGCTTCAGTTTCTATGCCTTCGGTGTATTGCGCGTAGCTATGTTTTTAAATTTTCACCCTCTTAGAGCTAGTTTTTGCAGTTTTATCGCTTGCGTTTGCAATGTGCAGCTTCAGCTCTGTGTAAAATGATATTCGATCTAAGTTTGTGGACCGCCTGTGTTCGCACGTCATAATCGTTTGCCTTATTGGGTCTCTTGTTTGCAGAACGATTGGGAACCAAGAAGGCTCACTGGACCCAAAACGATAGAAGAAGTCCACTACGAGGCTCAACTAGAGGACTTCTACTTGAGAGAACGTGCTGAAAATCTCGGATATCATTTTTGAATTCATAATTTTTTTAATATTAAACAAAAAATTTTATTTGAAAAACTTTTATTCGCGGAAAATTCAAATCTTATCTTTTCTGGTAATATCAAATTTTACTTTATTTAATAGAATTTATTACAATCTTTTTCATTTTTTATCGTAATATTCAAACGATAGTAATAAATTTGAATAAATAAAGTGAAATTTGATATTACCAGAAAAGTTACGATTTGAATAAATATTCGATTGAATATAGATTTGATTTGCTGATAAGGTTTTAAGCGCCGTAATGTTTGCTTAGCTATTTTCGGCGGTGTTTATTGTCATGTTTCCTAAAGTTTTCAACTTGAGCCAGCATAAAAGCATTTTGAGTGATTCTGCCGTTCGAAAATTTCAAGAAAAACTTTTCCAACTAATTGTTTCCAACATCTCGAATTGGGTGTCATTTTTTAAATATAAGATTTGCAGTTTTCTCCGAAAATTGCCTATATTTCATAGGATGGATAATTGCAATGCAGTTTTTTCCACGATCAATTTAAATTCGCTTTTGATTTTGTTAGATTAAACTATGTTTCCTGATAATTTTGTTAGATTAAACTATGTTTGCTGGCGATTTTGTGAAAGAAATTATTCAATGCTAGTTTTTCGTTTCGTTTTTTTTTCTCAAATATTGGTAATTTTTTTGTTCTACCCTGTTGTCTCTTTTTGTTCCGACTTTCGAAGAAAGAGGAATATATATGCTCGGTGTTTTTTTAAATTCAGACCATTTTTACAAAAGTCTGGTCCCTCGGGGGGATCGATCTCTTGATCTGCATGGGGCCAGCCAAGTGTGCACACTATAGTAACCTGCCATGTAGATGTCAAAAACTGCTTGTTTTTTTGTCCCGCACTACAAAGTCGTTCAAATTGAATTGAGACAGATAATTTGTTTCATAATTTTTGATAGTATCAGCCTAAATCTCATAGTTTTGCTGCTATTACACTAGCAAAGCTTGTGTGATAGTATTAACTCTTTTTTTTCCAACCTAAAGTGCAAATATTAATGTTCATTTTGAATCATTTCGATCAATATCCAGCTATTAAGTACAGCCAATGCTAAGGATTTTAACACAGACTATTATTTTACAAATAGCACTTAGCTTGAAGGCATCATGGATCTGTAGTGTAGAGTTAGGGAAGGAGACCAGCAGCATGAACTTGGTTTTTAATGAACTTTTTCGTATACTAGTTTAAATGCGTCCGCTCTATAAATCGAGGCATGTTAGTTGGTATTTTTTTTTCAAATTGGTTGGTACTGCTAATGCGTCTTAATTGGCTTGCGTTACTAGCACTTATGTAGACTCATAATTGGCGTGCGTCACTTATGAAAGCTAGAATACTCAAAGTTTTACTCATTCAATTTTTCCCAGTAGCGTAAGCGGTAATATTTTTGCTTGTGTATGCGAAGTTCTGCTTCCCCTCTGTGATTAACTTACCAAGTTATCCGAGAGCAATTAATGGGCGGTCGAAAAATTCAGGGTTTTGCCTTCATACGAGCAGTCTTGTTAGCTTCTGCGCTTGTTTGAAATACTTCATACACTTAAAATTCCCACTTTTGTTAACACGCTGGTAATAAAGGCGACGAATTAGTCCGGATGAGAAGTCATTTTTAATGGATTTTAGGCAAGCTAGTTGGTTCAATCGATGCGTTAACAGACGCGAATTATATCATATTGTACTTGACATTGTGTCTGGGATAAAAAATTTAAAACACATGTTTTTATTTTTCATTAATTTTTTCAAAATTTTAAGACTTTCAAGCCACCGCTATTTGTGGATTACTAAAAGAAAATTTTATCACACTGATTTAAATATTTTTTGCATTTTTTAGCCATCAGTAAGTATTTTTTTTGATGTATTTCAAGTTTTGCCTATAAGTCAAAAACAAAAACACCAAAAATTGTAGCCTTTATTTGCGATGTTCAAATTGGTAGCAACTTTACACTTTGTTGCAAATGGTCACTTTTTTTGTTCCGCTTTTCGAAGAAAGTAGCGGAATATTTTTCCAGGCAAATTTCGACTTTTTTACGACAAATTTCGATAATTTGGACGGATCTTTTTTATATCGTTCGAAAGGTATTGTTGTGTTGAGGTCAAATTTTTGAAAAAACTTCACCTGTGATCATTTTTTCTTAATTATGGAAAATTGAAGTATTTCGAGCAGTTTCAAGAGAAACATAGTTTTTATGCTCACCTCTGGATTGCGCAAAATGCTAAAATTTTAAATAGAAATTCTAGTTCATGTTTTCTTGACAACAATTTTTTTCTGCTTTTTTGTTTATTTTCTTTCGACTTGATAAGTTTTGGCCTATACTATATCGGTTTAATGGGCGCATTTTGTGCCGTTTGATGTGCGAAAAGTTTTTGTGTGTGCGGGTCTGTGTTTTGAGGGTGAGGGGGACTTAATAACTTCTTATTAGTCAGAAAAATTTTTGAATTTTTCTTTTTTTCGGTTTGATAGGTTTCGGCCTATATTACATCGGCTTAGTCGCCTCATATTGCGTCGTTTCACGATCTGTGTATGTATTTCGATGGTGAGGGTACCTAATAACTGTTTGTCATCTTAAGTTTTTTTTTTGCTTTTTTTTTACTTTTTCTTTTTTTGGCTAAAAAGGTTTCGGCCAATGTTATATCGGCATAGTGGCCGCATATTGTTTCATTTGACGCGTAAATAGAGTTTGTGTGCGAGCATGTGTGTTTGTTTGAGGGTGTGGCGGACTTGTTAATTCTTTCAAAAAATTTTCGGCCGAAAGGGTTTTTGTTGAGGTATTTTCGGCTTTGTTACCGCTTGATAATTTTTCTTTCGATGCTAGTTTCACATTCTGTTGTATTGGCTCGTTTTGTTTTCAAAATTAGCCTTATCGATAGAACTACCATTTTTCGAATTTTTTCAACTAGGCTTTTGTTTTGTATCACAAGTGGTGCGAAGCTCAGTTTCGCCTCTGTGTAAAATTTCTTTTATTTTTGAAAAGTGACCACTACTCCATATAACTTAAAATTCATTCGGAATATCCAGGGTTTCACCCTAATACGAGCGTTCTTGTTTCTTTTTTAATTAGAATTTAAATTTTGTGTTGTACGGCAGAGCAAACGGTTACTATTGATTTTTATAGGATTTTCGTTGATTATTTTGCTATAAATATTACTGTAATAAATTGAAAACTCTTCTTTTGTACTAGGATTAATTTTTTTTCAACCTAACTCGCATAAAGTGATGCTTTCTTTTGTCCGCATGTGATTTATGCGGTTTGTTAGTGGCTTGTGTTTGCAAGACATCAAGGGCATATGACATGGTATTTAAGACATCTGGCGCTCGTTTTATACGTAAGTTACCCTTGCGATAAACATGGGAATTGCAACCGTATACAAGGCTTTTTCCCCTAAATAACTTAGTTCGCAGGATGGTCAAATGCTAATCAAAATCAAGTGTTCAGTTTCCACTGAAGATGTAATAGCATGGACAGTGTATTGGTAGCATATATCGTTTGAGATCAAATTAAAAGTAACTGTTAAATTAAAAAAGTTCGGTTTATTTTTGGCGCTGGAGGTTGTTCGGCCTTAATTATGTCGGCTTTTTTCTCAATCATTTTTGTTCTTTTTTGTTGATATTTTATGATAATGGTTCAACCCGTACCAGAAAAATCAAATCAAGCTCACAGAACTTCCTCAATTAAATTGAAAAAAGGTAAACTTGAAAAAATATATATATTTTTTTCGATTTTCAAGCGTGTTGAAAAACTCAGGTCGAAACCTATAAAGTTAAGTGTCTAATTGGCTTTTTTATCATGTTCTTTCAGGTGAGGTAATATTTTTTTTTATTACTATCTGGCTTAAATAGTTTGAGAAGGTAGCTTTTTGATATGTCTGAGTTTAGGCAAGTGTAAAAGTGCTATTAAATCCAACAACATCAGTGCGATAATTTTTTAATCAATTTGTTCAATTTTTCTGGAAAAGTTTCTCGTTTCGAGAGTTCGTATTAAATTGATTTTTATTCAAGCTTTTAAAAGGACTTTAGAGCCAATCAAACATGAGATTCTAGATTTCGATTTCCTAGGTTGATTTTTTTTCTTCCACAATAGTTTGTGTTTTGCTCTAAAAAAGATACGCAGTTGTTTTTATAATTTTTTTCCCCAGAAAATATTGGTTTTTGAATTTTTCATCTTTGGGCGATTTACAAAAGATTTCCTTGCTTGTTTTGAACAAGATAATGCAGTTAAACCAAGTTAGTTGACGGTAGATCAAAATTTGTGATTGTAGATTTTTGTTTATTTATTTGCTGATGATTTAAAGAACTCGCGAAATACAATTTTCAATTGTTTCTCATTTTTTTACTTGCAATTTTCTGCATCGCAAGTGGTTTGAAGTTCGATTTCGCCTCTGTGATGAAAGTGTTAGGCGCTTTATCTAGCGTAGCCAATTATAACGCGCTACAAATTGTTGCAAATTGATTGATACAAGCTAATTGGTCTTTTTAATTCCATACACGATAATATCTATCTAAATTTCATAGTTTGTCTCTAGTTCATTAACCAAAAACTGATCGAGACCAGTTAAATGACAGTCACAAAGAACAATCAGGACTTTGCCCGAAATAACGAGCACCCCTGTGTTTCTTGTCCTTCTTTTCTTGTGTTTGCAAAGTGCAGCTTGTCCTGTGTAAAATGCTAAGTTTGTTTGGAAATCTGTGATTCAAAAACGTTTCAATCGATTGATTACAGTTGATTTTTGTGTTTATGGAAGAATTTTGTGATACCGTTTGACTTGATCTTTTTTGGCAATCTGAATTACGTCAAGGTATCTTGAAACTGTTTTTGATCCCCTTGGAGATTATTCGTCATGTGTTTCTTAGATCCTTGGGATTGGCACGAAGACTAAGAATGCGCATACTTTTTTTCATGTGAACACCTATGAAGAGCATTATACAGGAGCGGATATAGGATGGGGATGGCGCACGCCCTCTCCTCAGGGAATCAACCCCCTGCCAATCCAAAGGTACTTTTTTTTCAAACGCCGTTTTTTGGTCAAAGTTTTCCAAAAAGTGCCCAAAAACAGCTTTTTGACCTG